ACAGGGCAGTCTCCCCTTGTATCATTGTGGGTTTTACTGTGTGGTTGTGGTTTTGTCTTTTTCTGCATATTGATTGTCCCGCGTATATTTGAATGGATGCAGAAGCGCTGTCCAGATGGTGAGCCAGTGAAAGAAATATATGTATGTGCTACTTTGTTAATTGTTTTGGTAGGTGCATTTGCGACGGATGCTATGGAATCATGCCCTCTTTGGTGCATTCATTGTTGGAGTTTTGGTCCCAAAAGGACCATTTGCTGGTGCTCTTGTAGAAAAGATTGAGGATCTTGTATCAGGTCTTTCCTACCATTGTTCTTTGTCTCAAGCGGATTAAAGACTGATATAGGCACAATCCGAGGGCTTCAGTCTGGGGGTTCCTCGCTTTGGTTATAGCTACAGCATGTTTAGGAAAAATTGTTGGCACTGTTGCTGTCTCTTTGCAAAATGCATTTCAAGGAGGCTCTTGCTTTGGGGTTCCTAATGAATACTAAAGGCTTGGTGGAACTCATTGTCCTCAACATTGGAAAAGACAGAAAGGTAAATTGCTTTTTAGTCCTTGAGAATGAGTACTGTTTAATACATTTCTACGCTTTTGTGTCACATACTTCTTTTGGTTTTTGGATTTAACTGTTTTATCCGATTAATGTTTCAGGTATTGAATGATCAAACATTTGCAATCATGGTTCTGATGGCTCTTCACAACCTTTCACCACACCTTTGGTCATGGCTGTCTATGAGCCTAATAAAAGAACAAGTAATGGCATTTACAAGCAAGAAATATAAGAGAAAAAGCCAAATCATCAGCTCCGGATTTTGGCCTGTTTCTATAGTGCAAGAAATCTTCCTACAATGATTAATCTGATTGAGGCTGCGTGGAACTGAAAAGAAGGAAGGACTCTGTGTATATGCAATGCACCTCATGGAGCTCTCCGAAAGGTCATCAGCAATACTTATGGTCCATAAGGCAAGAAACAACGGAATACCCTTTGGAACAAAGGGAGACACTCGGTTCGATCAAGTTGTTGTTGCTTTCGAGGCTTTCAGACAACTAAGCCATGTCACTATCCGTCAATGACCGCAATCTCACCAATGCATGATATGCACGAAGACATCTGTGGTAGTGCTGAAAGGAAACGGGCTGCAATGATATTCTCCCATTTCACAAGCACCAGAGGTTCGATGGAGTGCTGGAGAATACTCGAAACGATTTTCATTCCGTCAACAAGAAGGTTCTTGAGAATGCACAATGCTCAGTGGGATCTTAGTAGACCGTGGGCTTGGTGGAAACACACATGTATCTGCCAGCGATGTTTCTTCCATTGTAACAGTCCTTTACTTTGGAGGGAATGATGATGAAGAAGCCCTCGCATATGGTGTACGCATGGCTGAACACCCTGGTATCAGTGTTAATATAATTCGCTTCCTCGCAAGCTCTGACATTTCAGGGGAGATTGTTGGAGCTGATGTGAAAGATCACCATTCGAGCAGTGCAGATGAAAACTTTCTTGATGAGATGAGGCGAAAGTATTCAAGTTTGGAGTCATTTAAGATGGAAGTGAGGGTAGTAAGAAACAATGCAGAAACTGTTGATGCAATCAAGGAGTATAATCGGTGCCACATGTTTTTGGTTGGGTCGAATGCTGAGGGTCGGTAGCAGCAGCCATGGATATAAAGAGTGATTGTCCGGAACGGGGCCGGTAGGCAGCATGCTGATTTCACCTGATTTTTCAACTTCAGCGTCAGTGTTGGTGGTGCAACAATATACTGGTGCTGGAATGTCTCCCATAGCAGGATCTTAGATCAAGATACAGAATCTAGCTGATGATAATGAAATTTTTACTCGGTCATACTGTAGCTAATTTTCTTTCTTTTTTCAGTTTGTTGGATTTTTTTAAATAAATAAAAGTAGCAGAAATTTCAACCTAAACAACGGTGTCGTTTTAGTTGGTGTGGTAACTTAATGCCTAGGCTCTTTCACACGAATAAACCAGCCATTCACTAAAACTCGAAGATAATGAAATATACCGATTTTAAGCGGTCGGTATTGGTACGAAACCTTCACAGTTCACTTCCCTTTTCAGTTCCTTAGGGTTTCAAAATCAGACTCAAAATGCTTCATCTCTACTGCAATCTCCACCGTCCATCTCCTCCTCTGCTCCTTCCTCTCCAACAACAAATTTTCCTACTCCCTCTCCTATCGAGTACGCAATCTTCCTCTCTCATTTAACTTGTTTTTATCTTTCTAGCGTTTCATTTAACCTTTTTTTTTTTTTTTTTTAAAATTATTAACACGAGTGAAGTTCAATTAAATGAAGGTTTTGTAAAGATTACAAGATTTCGATAGCGGTAAACAGCAAGAAGAGTGGAAAGGAGTAGTGGAGAGGTTTGAGCGGTGAGAAATGGGTCCATGAAGGGTTCATTACAGAGTCACTTCCCAATGGTATGTTTCGAGTTCGTTTAGATAATGAAGACTTGATTCTTGGTTATATTTCGGGAAAGATTAGGCAGAATTTTGTTCGTGTATACCTGGAGATAGAGTCAAGGTTGAAGTAAGTCGTTATGATACAAGCAAGGGTCGAATAATTTATAGATTCGCAACCGAAGTTCAACGGTTAAGTTGTTGCTTAATCTTGATTATAATTTTTGTATTTAAATTAATTGTTATGAAAATTCATAAAGCTTATCTTATTGTGAGGTTTTTTTTTTTTAATTATTATTTGTTTATTGGTTTCCTATTGGAGCGGTCCAAATAATTTGTGCTAAATGTTAATTCTGAGTTCTCTTGTAAATCCATTTGGTGGTTCTCTTTCTCTGTTCTGGTCTTTGACACCTCGTGCTGCCAATTGAATGTTTTTAACGGAGGATGGTTATTTTACTCAAGGGCATGAGGCACATCTAGGGGATAAATATTTTTCCTTTACATTTGAAGAAGTATTGTGGTTGTTAATCAATAGCATTTTCAATAATTAGATGTACAAAGAAATTTACAAAGATTTATGTACAAGTGAGTGGTGTGCAAGAAATGAATGGAGAGTAATATGATGAGTTTGACTTTTTGTGTTCACTCTTCTATTTATTTCTTACCACATCACTTGTAAAATCTTTGTAGATTCTTTGTACATGTAATTACTCTTATTTTATGCCCAAGGTTGAAGGTATTCGAATTTAACTGCCTGGCCAGTGGACTACTTGCTGCCTATCTTCTTCTCCTCTATGTTGCACTTCAGTTCGAAGGAAATTGATATAGTTTGGTCATGAACATGGTATGGATTGATAGATGTTAGTTATCTTCTTTTCGAGAGGAAAAACGATAGTTGGATGCTGATGGAGAAGATTTCTAATGAGGTTGGGAGAAGTCATTTTTATGATTCTATATTACTGGATTTACGAGGAAGCTGGCCATTGACACTCTAGGAATGGTGCTTTGGAAGGAACGTCATTTTCTCCTTTTGTTTTATATTTTTGCAGGCCCAACTTTGTTCTAAGAACTTCTTTCTCCTATTGTTATAGAACTTGTAAAACTTGTTTATAGGGATTATATGAGAAAAAGTTGGAGGGTTTGTGGGGCACTCGTTAATGTAGTACATTCTGTGTATTACCTTCTGCTTATCAGTTTCCAGTAGTTAAATATTAGCAATAGAATTAGGTGGTAAGCTTCTGTACTTGTTAACTGTAGCTTGAAGATTAGCAATAGAATTAGATGGTACGCTTTTGGGGACTATGAAACTATTTGGAATGCATGCACCGGAGCTGAAGGGATTGGTGTTGTTACCACTTTTATCAAATTTTAGATTTACATTATTGTGAGAAAAACACTTAGTTTGGTGGAGATAGCTAGAATTTTATTCCAAACCACACAAATTCTGGCATATAATGCGTTGAGGAAGACCTCTGCAGTTAATAGACTAGATCTAAAACTCAATGTCAATTGGAGGTGGTGAATTGGCTTTAAAACTATCAAATGCAACTTTACACACCCTGACAGAAGTTCTGTACCTTGAGTTGCATAGTCCTTAGTTGATATGTTACTAATTATGGTAACCTTGTCTATTATATTCGGGTTATGTCGTGCTCAAACAGGGTAACTCATCAACCTAGCAAGGCTAAATTCTGAGTTTAACATCTCTGTTTATGCGAAAACTCTGTACATATAATTGCTAACTTGAGTATTGAATTCTTTCTAGAGGGTGATATTAACTTGAGTATTGAATTCTTGCTGGTAGAATTGCGATTGGGCCAGAGTCTATCGCTGTCTTGGTAGACCAGCTATGTGTAATCCTGGCATGTCACTTGATGAATACTTGTAACTACCACTGTCTTAAGCTCTAATGCTACATCTGAATACACACAAGAGTTGTTGAGTATGCTAACAATTATCATTAACCAATGATAGCTTAACTGATAGCGTACTAATCAATCTATATATCAGCTGAAGACATGCTCTCTTTTCTGCTATAATTTTTTGTTTGGATGTACCATTTTAGAATGATAACGCAATGTCTGTCACTTCAAACTTTTTACATTAGAAGATAGTGCTAGATATAAGGAGCAGTTAAAAATGAACTGTATATAAACTAAACGAAGATGGTTTCATGATACACAAAGCATGAGAAGGGTTTGTAGGCAAAATTGTGTTTGATTCTCCTACTCTTTGTATGTCAATCTGTATAGGCTTCGAAGGTTATTGCAGCATCTGCTATGGCTGCAGCTCCAAATTAACGCAATTTAATGAGTTTGCTTGTTTTATAAACATAATCCAAACATGTGGTTCATTGAAAGACTATAATTTGCTTCGGCCGGCCTTGAAATTAATCTGAGCCATTTTTAGTGGACCAGCTTTATGTAAGCTTTGCACTGCATTGAATTAAAAGTTGTAACTGCTCGTGTCCGAAGCTTTACTACTTGTTCTGAATAGAGTACAAGAGTTGTTGTGTATTTATCACTTTTTTACTGGAAAAAAATATTAGCACGTGACGGATTGAGCTCTCAAATGAACTGTATATAAGCTGAAGAAGGAAACACTATCAATCCACACTTGAACATGAGAGAGGTTGCTGTGAAATTCTGTATCATTTTGTTGCTCCTGATCTCTCCATCAGTTTTGGCTTCCAAGAAAAAACAGAAATATCACAAACCTTGCAAACAGTTTGTGCTCTATTACCATGACATTCTCTTTGGTGGAATTGGTGGCAATGATCCAGTTAATTCAACATCTGCAGCAGTCACAAATGTAACCAAGTTAGGCAACTTCAACTTTGGAATGTTAGTTATTTTTGATGATCCTATGACTAAAGACAATCGTCTGCTATCACGTCCGGTTGCACGAGCTCAAGGGTTCTATTTCTATGATATGAAGACTGATTATGATGCTTGGTTCGCTTACACTTTGGTTTTCAACTCGAGCGAGCATAAAGGTACTCTAAGTATACTGGGTGCAGATACGATGATGGAGAAGACGAGGGATCTTTCAGTAGTTGGAGGGACAGGAGACTTTTTCATGGCGAGAGGGATTGCAACATTTGAGACTGATACTTATCAGGGCAAAGGATACTTCCGCCTCAAGATGGATATTAAGTTGTATGAGTGTTACTAGAATATGTACCACTATCACCAGTAAGTTTGATATGTTTTCTGTGTAATATGTTATGTGCTTTGCTTCTTGGCTACTCTTAAGTTGCCAAGGAAGGAAGGAAGTTTATGTATTGCTACATCTATAATGAAAGGACAATGATACATCCACACCCTTTTCTCACAATTTCGATATAACAGTTCGTAATTAATCAGTTTGTAATAAGTCTTATTTGAGTCCCACTTAATAAATTACGATTGACCAATTACGTTACATAATTTTATTATGGTTCTACATCATGAAATTATTTCTACATAATGAAATTATGTGACGTGATGCAAATGTTTGTAATGGGCTTGGCCCAAATATAATTGAATAGAAGCAAGAATGAATGAATACTCTGACTACAGCCCGTGGTGGGCTGTGGTGGCCCATGACACGAAAAAAGCACAACATGACAATACATGACACAAAAAAAAAAAAAAAAAGCATGGCACAGCAAGACACACAATCATGTGAGCCGTGCCATAGGCCTTAAAATTTAAAAATTAATGAAAATGAAGATATATGATAATTCTTAATCTTAATTTCTAAGTTTGTATTTATAATTTATAATTATATCTTATAAGTAATAAAAAATGTTGAAATTTAATTAATATTTCAATGTCTCATTATTTTATTATATTTCATAATGATTATATTTTTTTAATAATAAAAATACAAAATGTCAATAAATATAACATATAAAATATATTTATAATAATTATTACTAACAAATCAAAATTACCATAATTTCCGTGGGCCTTTAGATTTGGGGGGCCGACACGACATGACAAGGCACGAATTTCTACTGGCCTTGGCACGACACGACCCACGGTACAACGATCTTGAATTTTTAGGCATGGCATGGTATGACCCATTGTCGGCTCCAACTATGATAAATCATTAATATAAAGACCTTTTTTGATTAAGATTTTTCAATATTTAGAATGATTATTTTTTCATTTTGAGAAATATCGTAATTATAATAAATAGTTTTGTTCTTTATAATAATTCAGCTCCAAAATATAAAACTTAAAAAAGAAAGATCCAATTAAAAAATAAAAATAAAAATAAGAAGAAAAAAGATTTAAATTAATTGCCTTCAGGCTTTAGCCGTTTCTCTCTAAGCTTCAGCTGCTTCTTTTCACCAAACCAAAACAAATAAAAATATGCAAGTATTTGACTTGAAAAGAGGAACAAGATCTACACAAGAACTTGAATGCTAAGGAAACCATGTTAAAGAATCCTCCAATTGAGTAAACAACAAGAACCCAAAAAGGATCTAAATATGGATTATTAAACTGAGAGCAACTCAGAAATATGATTCCAGGTGAAAACCACAACGTTGTTTCCTGGGGAATCATATTCAAAACTTGTGAGAAGTCTGTCAACTACATAGGCAACATCCGAAATGGCTTGGATCTGCAACTACAAACTGCATAAGAGCTTGCATCTATGTTGTTGGTAAAATGAAGTCCTGAGTAAGAAAAAACTTGAAATTGAAATTGGATCTGCGGTTCAGAGTATTTATGAATATAGTTGGTGTGCTCTATCATGCTGACACTGTCACTTTTCAAGTTGCCGCAAGGGAAATTTTTTGGTCCTCTTCTGTTATGCTGAAAAGGCAAGGCTGACATGGAGTCTTGTCAGCAAGGGAAATTTTTTGGTCCTCTTCTGTTATGCCTGAAAAGGCAAAGCTGACATGGAGTCTTGTCAGCATGAGGTGGTCAGAACTTGGGAAGGTTCTGCGATAGTTCAGACGCAACCATGTTGTGTAATGGCGTAAGTGGCACGCCCCTGTCAGTGTAGTGGATGAGTGCCAGATTAGCAGATGGTTGGAAATCGTCCACGTGTCTAAACCTTGCATAAGTCAAGGAAATCACTCGGGCAGGTGAGCAATGAGACGCAGAGAAGGATTTGTACGATACCCACCCACTTGCATGTTTAGTAATCATTACTTGGGTTTATCCCACTATAAATAGGGATCTTCCCTCCCGTTTGCGAAATTGGCTAATTTTACTCTAAAATAGCCATCTCTCTCTCTCTCTCTCTCCCTTTCTTGTATTCTCTCTAAACAATTGCTTAGCTCGTTGAACACGACCTGACCTCTACCTTCTTATTAATACAATAGCAATGGACATAGGATTCGCTTTTGAGCATCCGAACCACTTTAAACATTGTCTTTCACTCTTTATTTAACTAAATATTCACATATCACGTGTGACGTCTAAGTCTGCTTAGCATTTCACATGTGCGAGTAGTTGGTGTCCAAAATCAAGCATCAACAGTTTGGCGCTAGAAGGAGGGTCTGATTTAGTATTTGCTCTTCATCAGAAAATCTCTGACTAATCGATCCTACCACAACAAATGGCTCGTGGTTTCGAATCTGAGCGAACCAATTATGACAATGAAGAGATCCCCCAGGTATAGGAGGACACTCCTCCCGAAGTGCCGCCTATCGGGCAAAATGTCATAGAGGATATTCCTTCAAGCTCGCGGCTCGATCTAGCAGTCATGAGTTACCTGGAGAGGTTCAATAATACTTTCCAAACGGTCAGCCAAAGGCTGGACCGATTGGATAGGGTCATGCCACCCGAATCCAACGAGGTTGTGCCACTGCCAAAAATGCTTGCAAGTCACGCGAAAATGCGTAGAAGGGCGAAAGCCCATACCGCGCGCAGTGCAACGCGTCAGAGAAAGGGAAAACAAGTGGCGCTCAATGGACCAAAGGGCTCCGAAGGACCAGCGAACACCGATCACGTCCTAGGAAAAATACCCATGGCATTGCGACTCGGCAACATGTCGCAACATGAGCCGTCTCGCGCCACATCGCACGGGCACTCCCACAAAAGTGCAAGGCTGGGAGATTCCCAATATCGCCAAAATGATGACTTCGATCGTCGTCGCGCAGGGATTCTCATCATCCGTGGGTCGGTTCGTACCACCGCGGAGGTTGGAAAGACTCCTCAAATCACTCGATGCCACCACACGGCTCCAGCCAGCTTGTGTCGAGATTGGCTGGAGCTTTCGGCTGAGGTGAGGAAGAGTCCGATTTGTGGTCTCTCCTTAACCGCAACCGTGAGGATCAAACCCACGTTGCGGAAAGTAATCCCCAAATAGCGCCGCTGCCTTAGATTGATGAACTACAGCGAGCTCTGGATCAACTCAACGCTTAGTAGAACGAGCAGGGGAAGGTCGCAGAGCGTCTCTCTTTTCCCTGGAAGTGTTAGCTGCCCCTCTCCCATCGAGATTCAAAATGCCCGACATGCAAGCATTCGATGGGAACTTTGATCCATAAGATCATCTGTACGAGTTCAACGACCCTATGGAACTCCACCAAGTCTCTGATTTGGCAAAATGTCGTTGCTTGGTAGTAACCTTAATTGCCCATGCCAAGCGATGGTTTAGGTCGCTCCCAGCAGGATCAATCAGCTCATGGTCTCAAATGAGCTCGACATTTCTAAGGCACTTCCAGGTGAATAGGAAGTTCTCGATGCCACTAAGCTACTTGAGCAATATACGGTAAGAGAGGGATGAATCCCTCCAATCTTATATAGACAGGTTCCATAGGGAGCTCCACAAAGTGGCTTATACTCCCGAAGAGTCCGTTTGGACTCTCATCATCGCGGAAGTTCGCTCGCAGATAGACTTGTGGAAGGAACTACAATATGAGGATGACCTCGCTTTTACAACCTTACTAAAAAGTACCTCCGCATTGAAAATTTCGTGGCCGCTCTCAATCACCACGACTTCGGTCCTTCGAATAGTGCTCCTAGCCAGGGGGAGATCAGGAGGGCTGATCGCAGATGGGCTAATGACAATCAGCGAAAAGGAAAGAAGTAGGAGTACGAGTCCAAGAAATCTTATGCCCTAGTTCCTCATCGTGATCGTGACAAGAGTCAATACACTCCTCTGAATGCCTCGGTATCGGCTATTTTAGATAAATCTCAAGAGGCCGGTTTGCTTGGAGAGGTCGAGTCCATGAAAAATCCCCCTTTAGCCAGAAACAATAAAAAATACTGTTGCTATCATCGGGATAATGGGCACTACACCGAAAGTAAGGACACTTCAAAGAGTATGTCGATGACTCTACTCTCGATCGGGAGAAAAATCAAGAGGAATCGGGAAAGAAGCGTCATGGTCGCAAAGGTCTTTACTGTGTGAGGATCATCTTTGGAGGGCCGCACCTCGCGGGGAATTCTCGAGGTGCCCAAGAAAGGTATGCTCGCGTAACTTGTCATGACCCTATACGTGTGATGAGCACGACGCTGCGACCCGCTAAAGTTTTTAGAGAGGAGGAAATCACATTCTCTTGAGAAGGACGCGGTGCGATTGCATCATCCCCACAAGGATGCTCTCATCATCGCGTCTGAAATAGATCGGTGCGAGGTCCACAGAATGTTGGTGGACAATGGAAGCGCCATGAACATCTTGTTCCAACGAGCCTTCGAGAAGATGAAACTGGACGAGGCATATCTGAAGCCTGCCTCTATCCCTCTGTATGGTTTCATGAGAGATCATTTGATTCCCAAAGGGACAATCTCACTCCAGGTCACGTTGGGAGAGACTAACGAGATGACCAAAATGATTGAGTTTTTAGGATTCGTTTTTAAGCATCCGAACCACTTTAAACATTGTCTTTCACTCTTTATTTAACTAAATATTCATATGTCACGTGTAACGTCTAAGTCCGCTTAGCATTTCTCACGTGCAAGTAGTTGGTGTTAAAAATCAAGCATCAACATCTTCCCTAATTTTTTTGGGGAATCCCTGCCTCGTTCGGGGCAGGGCGGGGCGGGGAGGGGAGGGGAAAAGGTCTATATCTACTTTTGAGTAGGGAAAGTTGTTTGAGTTTGTGGGTGAGACTTGAGAGAATACCTTATGGCATGACAAGTGTCATGCCACTTGTCAACACTTAGTAGGTTTTGGCCATGTCTCCCACTAGACAAACTTTTCGGGCTTAGGCCGCCAGAAACTGAATTATCATTACGATGCCTATTTAACCTAATTAGAACTATCGTGGAACTTTC